TGGGAGTTTCAAGACTAGTCACAAGTGAAAAAATATTTGAATATAGAGGGAAGCACTGAACGAGAGAAGCTATTATATGTGAGGAGATAGATACTGTTTTGGAAATTCTATTTTATATGCATACTAATATTTCATATTATAAACTGCATATTAGAATTTAAAATAAAAATAATTTCTGAGATCAAACTATCATTACTAAGAATTTGACATAGACTTCTATCATTACAGAAGAGAGAAGACATTGAGAAGTTAAGCTCTTATAGATTTTTGAAAATTATTTAATGTTAATATTATCATTTGTTGTAATTTGGATTAAATAACAAAATAATAACTGGATTTAGTAATATTGGTAAATAAAAGTAAGATGATCAAAGTTTTAACTTAGAGTTTAGTGATGTAAATTGTACTACAATGTAAAATTAATCTTAGGAAGTGTAATGGTATTTAGGCTTAACTATAATTCAACTTACTGGTAAATTGTAAAACAGGTTAATATATTGTTTTATTAAATAAATACAATCTAAAGACTAGTTTCTTGTCTCCCTGTGTTTTAAGGATTAATTTGTTTACTTAACTTAGATCCATTAGTTTAAATTCAGCTTATAGTTATAGGTAGGTTATAATATAAATCAGGCTAAATACATTGTATTATTAACATTACGTACACATCAAAGTAAAGACTAGTTACTGTCACTTCTAATAAAGTTATATTTCTAAGTTCTATATAATTGAAGATAAACATAATTACTTTAGTGTGAAGACAAAGTAGTTATATAAAAAAAAAACTAATACAATTGGTTCTTAAATGTTAGGATCAACAGAAACAGTGTTGACAATAGGCAACTGGTATTTGGTATTGAGTATTTATTTCCAGACTATAAGTATAAATACAATGGTTAGGACTAGTGTAGGAATTAAGCATTCACAGTTTGTTAGGTGTAATGGGTGCAATGAGTGGGTTTTATATGGGAACTTGAGACTGGCATGTACTTTTAAGGAAGCTAGTAGTGAAGATGTGCAACTTGTATGTAGAATTTGTAGGTTGGAGGAGAAGTTGGAGGCTACCATAATTAAAGTAGAGGCAACAGATAAAGAGAAGTGCAAACTGTGGGAAATGGCAGCATGATCTGATAAGGAGCTTAAACTTTTACATGCAAGAAATACAACAGCTAACAATGACTTTCAGAAGAAAAAAAAAAAAGAGAGTACCATTAAGGTTAAAACTAATGCATTTAATTGTAATGAGCCTATTCTATTGGACAACAGATTTCAGCCCTTAGCTTCTGCATACAAGGAACTATTGGAAGGAAGGAAAACAAAAGGGACAGAGAAGGATGATAAACTTAAGGAGGGTATAGTTACAGGCAATTCCTTGATAAGGCATGTGGATAGAATAGTCTGTGGGGTAAATAGGGAGAAAAGAATTAGCTTATGCTACCCAAGTGGGGGATATAACTGACAGAGCAGGAAATACAATAAAGAAAGCTAGCAAAGATGTAGTTTTTGTTGTGCGTGTAGGGCTAATGATGTAGGAAAAGGTAAGTCAGAGGAGCTAATCAATAAGTACAAGGGGCTGATAAAGTCATTTAAAGAAAAAGGCCATAACTTAATTGTGTCAGGGATACTGCTAAGTATTACTTGTGGGGATGAAATTATGAGTAGGTCACTAGGACTAAATGCTAGGCTTAGGAGGAGCAGATAGACTGGTTGGACTTGCGGGTTCAGTTCAATGGAAGAAGGGAGCTTTTTAGAATGGATGGTTTACATTTAAATAGAATAGGGGCTGGCTTGTTTGCTAGGACTATTAACTCAGCTATAAGGAAGGTTTTAAACTGGTACTAGACATTGGTGAGGGCCAGAATAAACTAAGTGCTAAAAAAATTAGAGGCAAAGAAATGTGAACATACGAAATGAGTATAGAACTAGTTATACAGGTCAGCTTAATTGTTACTATTGTAATGCTAGAAGTATAAGAAATAAAGTAGATGATTTTAGAGCACTGGTAGGAATGTAGGATTGTGAAATAATGGGAATAATTCAAAAATGATTATACGTAGATATTCTGATGACATAAATATCTTTGAAATACAGGGTTACAGGCTATTTAATAGGGATAGAGTACTAAAGAGAGGGGGGTGTGTGGCTTTATATGTCAAATGTCACATCCTGTTGAAGTTGAGGATGTCAAAGATAATGGGGAGGAGATTGAATCCATTTGGGTTTCTATTAGTGGATATAAAGGGAAAAGGCTAACAGTGAGAAGTTGTTACAGACTACCAGATGATACTGATGAAATTAGTGAAAAACTGTACAATGGGATTAAGATTTCAGCTGTTAATGAAGTCATAATTATGGGTGATTTTAATTTCAGACATATAGATTGGGAAATATGTCTCTCAAACCGTGAGAGAGAAAGGTTTCTAGAAACTGTTCAAGATGGCTTTCTTCACCAATTGGTCAAGGGACCTACTAGAAACAAAGCTATTTTAGGTTTATTTTTAACTTCAAATGTAGAAATGATCAAAAGAGTGGAAATTGGGGAACATCTGGGTGCAAGTGATCATTGCTTTATTAGGTTCAATGTTTTGGAGATAAGGAATAATATTTTGGTTACAAGTTTCAAAAAAGCAAAATTTAAAAAAAAAGTGACAAGAATTATCTGTTGGGAATTGGAAAGCTGAGGTATTTGGAGACACTGATCAGATGTGGAAATTTTTAAAGATTCCAAGTAAACATATTCCTTATAGAAAGAAAAGGGTAGCTGCAAGTGCAAAGCCAGGTTGGCTCCTAATTGAATATCAAACACGGTTTTTAGTAAAACTATATTTTATCTGCTATTTTCTCTACCCTAACTCTATATAGGGTTGGTAAATTTTACCAAACCCATAACCACCATAAAAAACACCAGGAAATAAATCTAAATTACCCTTTATTCTTTCTAGAATGACTTCATATGCAACAGGAAACTACATCTGTTTATCCTAAATATATTAAATCTCATAACAGTATACATCTGTTTATACTTGTGTTACTGTCTTTTGAACCATGTCTAACTGACAATCCTGTCACAGGAGTTGTAAAGCACTCAGTGAATGTGTAGCTCTGTGTTGAATGATATAACACATGAGCCGCTTGCAAGCACACCTCATCAAATGATTTTTTTTCATCACCTTACATAATCTATCCTAACAAGTTTCTAATTTTTACACCTTAGTTACTCTTATAACAATATATAAACAAACACATAAAAAAACAAGAGCTATAGTACTTACATGTGATTTCATTTTTTGTTGTCAGCTGTTGATGAAATTTAAGCCTACTTTTTTATTATGACAGTATTAGTGTACTAAATAATTTTTATTTACATGAATAATGCATCTGAGAGCACAAAGCAAACAATGTCCTATAACTATTATCATTTAACTGAATTTCTAATTGACACAAGATGGGCTTTAGTTCACTTAGCTGCTTGATCTGAACACTATGAGATAAAGTTTCAAATTGAAGAAAAAACTGACAATACTCTGTACTGAAAAAAATGTAGCATTATACATCATTGAATAGATTAAAACTTTACCTTTCTATTGGTTATAAATGATATAGTATAAAATGCCAGAGACAGGATGTGAGAGAGAATGTTACAAGTGGGTCTAATTTTTCTAGTTTATGACACCATAAACAAATAAAATTAAAGACTATAAAAATTAGTATTTGTCTTAGTAATATCTATATTATACTGAGTAATTTATGTTAAATTCCATATTTCATAGATGGGTGGTAAAAAAATTAGAGAAGAGGATGACCTTTAGAACAAATGTCATGATTCTCATACTAGGAGAGATTGAGGATTTTTAAAAATATTTCCATATAAAAATAATAACTTGTATATAATAATATAATATATATATATATACATAATATAATTATAAGTTTATAATAATAAAATTTGACTTGGTACCTGTTTTGATGCCAAGTTTATTTGTATACATTAACATTAGAGTAATTTAATTAAGTTTTGAATATAACTGTAAAAGGTCATGACATGCACACTTTGACCTACCCATTGTGGGAAAGTTAGGTTGAATTATCAATAAAATTTTAATTTTTTAATTTGATTACCTACATTTATTTCTGCTTTTTCAAGTACCCCAGATAATATATATGTGTGTGTGTATATATATATATGTATGTATATAAACAGTAAATTAATAGATTTTAATAATTAATATGTAAAAATATTTTAAAATTAAAGTGGACAAATTAGTTTTGGTATGGTATTTATTGGAAAAAATAACATTCCAAAACTGCTGAAGTATTGTAATTTGAACATAAACATTTAAATACATAGCAAACAGTTTTTCTTTAAACTGTACTGTGAATATCAAAAAGCAATGAAGAACCTACTGAGTGTACAATATAAAAACTATATGAACGATCAACATGGTGCAACCAAAAAAATATTTTTTTTTACACAAAAGAGAATGAATTTGTGATAAAAAGAACAGCTGGGTAGAATCTCATCAAGCTAAAACTTGCAGTGGGATGAAACTTATTGTACAGGGTGAATTAGGGTTTTTAAGACTTGAAACTGTGAGAAAGGTTTATTTTCAATATTCCTATTAGTCATATACACGTAACGAAATTTATTACATTTAACTTTGGAAATGAGTTATTGACAATTTGACAGTGAAGACACTGGATTGTAGTGAAGAATAAATTATAATCTGAATGAATTATGTCTGGCACAAATAATATATAATATATAACACTAAATAAAATTGAATATATATATTTGCAATGCATTGTTTTTACTATTATATTTAACCAGAAGCATTTCAATTTTAAATTTAAATGTTATTTTACCAAAACAAACACATCTTCCACACTAAACAATTTAATTTTAAAATGTGTTTTAAAATATTGTTTAGGATTATTAAGATTCCTAAAGGGTACATGAAATGGCTCCAAATACATATAACTTCACAATTAAATACACCTACCTGTCCATGGTGGCAAACAATGACATGTTCCAGTTCTGTGGTCACAGCTTGAGATATGACTTAGTTCACAGTCACAAGAACTCGTACAATTGAATCCAAAATAGCCTTGCTGAAAGTTCAACATATATTGTACATATTTTAGGAAATACTATGTTTAATCACATAGGTCATTTTTAGCTTTATACCAATTTAACCAACTGTAAATAAAACAGAACCTTGGTAGTTAAAACTGAACATTATTTGTTTACAGTAGGAAAAAAAAGTAATGAATGTGGTGACGTTAAATGCCTAAACTATTACAGCTGAAGAGATCTGTACTTAATAAAAGTCCTCCAAGATAGTGGTTTTTAAAACACAAAACTCATATTTGTACACATACTGGATTAACATTCTTAATCAATCAAGAAAAACTTGTAAACATTTCAAATCCAATGTGTTTTTTCTGCATTTACTAAGCCTAATGTGCTTCAATGAATTCTTTTGTTGTTCACACAAACAATATTTTAGAAAAACTTTTGGATTTTATAGGTGCAGCTGAAGAATTCTGCTACTGGGCAGGAACTTATGGTAAACAACAACAAAAAATGCTGTTCTATATGCTCATGGTTTACAGTCAATAAAGGACTAACAAGAGATGGGATAAAACATTTGAAATCAAACATGATTCTATCACATCTGTTAGGTTTGATGCTTGGTATATTCTGTTGATTGATTAGCAACAAGAGTATCAGTCAGTAGTAAAATGTCTCAAATATGTTTACTCTTATGAAATCATCTTATAAACAAACCCATAGAGGTTTGTATGGAGTGGTAACAACTATCAAACTTCTTTTTTTACTGAAGTGAATATATTAACTTCAATTGGTTATAACTAATTTATTACTCAAGACTGATACTGTAAGGTTAAACAAAAAAAACTTCTACCATGAATGTACCTTAATTAACCATGGTAATTATCATATTGGATTTTTTTGCATTAACAGAAGGTAAATACTGTGAGTAGTAATGGCAATTTTTGTTTTAGCCAGTTTACATATAACTATAATATGCCTTTCTGACAGAAATTAATAAAATCATTTATATTTCCTTTCATTTTTCTTAAAAATCACTAGCTTTAAACATAAGACTTTTTCAAAAGAGTTAGGTTTGTGAGTTTTGAAATTTTATATGAGCATATGTTATGGAACAGCAGAATAAACACAAACAACATTATTGAACTAACTGACCTTGCACTTCTGTTCACATGTTATTCCTGTATATCCAGCTTTGCAAAAACAAGCTCCTGTAACAGGATCACATGCTGCACCATTTTTACACCTGCATTTTTGTTTGCAGTCTTGACCATAATGACTTTCTGGACATGATCTATCACATTTCAACCCAGTTTTTCCTAGACAAATTGAGTACATCATACCATACTATTTAACTTTAAGCTTATTATGTTGTGCTCAAATCAAAGAAGAGAAATGATTCACAATAAATTTAAAAGAAATGTATTTAGAAAATCTTCTCTTGGATAATAAGCATGATGCTTTAGACTCTTTTCCTACTCTTAAAAGCAGCATATGGCTCTAGTCAATAAAAAATATTAACTGAGATCTCAAAATATTTATCAAGTGAGCTAATTTCACAATAGTAGTTCACAAGAATCCGAGAAGACACATGTTAAAACTTGAGTGATATCCATTCATTATTTCTTCAGTTAAACTAAAAAAAAATAATTAACTAAAACATATGACAATGTTTGAGCCTATCAAGAATTAAATCAAGCAGATACAGTTTTTCTCCCCTATAAAAATATCTCATTACAAAACAAATCATATTCTATAAACTAAGTCACCTAATGGGCAGGTACATTGTCCAGTAACATGAGAACAGTTACTATCATTGCTACAAATACAGTCTTGTTCACAGTCTACTCCATATTTTCCTTTTGGGCATGGTTCCCCACAACTAGATGTTTAAAACAAAGGAAATTGTAAGATAATTATATTTGTACATAAAAAATGAATTAGTTTCAAGTTCTACCAACAATATACAAAAACAATTGAAAATGATTTAAGCATTCAAAAATAAAGAATTTGATTTTTAAAACTGAAGTACTGATACCAAAATTTTGTATAGCATCTTAACATTCAAGGTGTCTATGAAATTAGCTTAACTGTCTCTACACGTACTCGGTCAGTTTGACCAACCAGTACTCAACCTTTGTACTCAATTAAAGTCTTTATAGATTTAATACTTCTAACTTCCACTATAGTGTGTATATCTTCACAAAACTTGGCAGTCTTTCAGTTGACATTTTAAATCTTTCACATACAAAAAATCATATTTTTTTAGGGAAGTATTTTTAATAAAATAAAGATTTGTCCATTAATATATTGAGTATTTGTTTTGAATAGTGAAAATGTGCATCTATGTACTGGAATAACATTAAGTGAACTGATTTTATGCCATTCACTTCCAAAAAATACCACTATAAACCTCACAAAGCACAACATGTAAAGATTAAAGAATTCAATTTAAAAAAAAATATTGTAGCTAACACATACTATTATTATTTTAATTCTACAATATTTTCCAATACATGTGACATACACATGTAATACACTGTATATGTATATTTAACAATCAAGCAAATTTAGTTCAGCAGTTTAAAAAATAAAATAATTTTTAATACACAGAATGTTTTAAAACATGTTTGCATGAAAACAGCTGCTTTCTACAATCACCCTTGGTTTTGACTTACTCTGATCCAGTGTATCCAGGTCTACAACTACACTTTCCACTGACAGGATTGCAAGCTGCATCATTTTTACAATTACATCTCTCCAAACAACCTTTTCCATAGAATGGTGATGAACATGGTCGTTCACAAAGCTCTCCAGTCCACCCTGGTTTACATTCACATTTTCCTGTAGCTGGGTGGCAGCTAGCAGATATAAAGATTGACTATGTATAAAAATATACATAACATAGCAAAAACCTGCTACTTTACTTATAATAGTATAAAATCAAGAAAGAAAACTCGTACAACCAGCAATTACCTAGTCATAAGATTGAAAATATTATTCAGTGTGAGTTGACATCAATTTATTTCATTGAAAAATCTTTGAAGAAATTAAGAGTCTGAACCAATAAGGAATTTAGACAGCCTCTACTACTTCCATATTGGAAAAAAAAAGGTTGTGTAAATATGTGAATGAAAATTATACCCGAGAAGTTTTGCTCTTCATGTGGCATCTTATTGTAATGTGCCCTACTTTATTTTGTGCATTCCACTTGCAGAAGATACACCTTGGATTCAAATAATTCAACTACACAATTGGTCAGCTACACATATAAAAAGGTGAACTGAAAACACTTTTAGCATTTTCAGACAGATTTGTTTCCAACTTTAAAGGAACAAGATTAGTCTTTGTTTCTGCATCTTTTGTGGCCTGCTGATCATGTATGCCTTTTTTTTTAATTATTCAGTCAACCAAACAGTTTCTGGTTTGTTTCAAAGTAGTGCTTATTTTCATATTTTTAGTTAAATAGTTTTTACTTAATTAAAATACAGTTTACTTATTTACTTCACTCTCAGCTTAACACAACAAAACAGACCTACCACTTCAACGATCAGTCAACTTGTACTTCATTGTTCTATCTTCTATAAATAAAATATTTATTTCTCTATATTCATACAGTTACCTGATCTCCATAATAATTACAAATTTTAGGATATGTGGAAGGATAAGTGTAGTAAAATGTTGTAGGTTGAATGGAAATCAGGTAACTGTGTGCTAGGTATATTCTTGAATTTCCACACTGAATACTGACCTGATGTAAATTCATACTATTAACTACAGATGGTAAGAAGTAGTTTCTAGTCTGATGAAAGCTGATGTATTTCTTGTTAGGATTATTATATCCTACACCTTCAATAAATATTTTTCTTTTATCATTACTAACTCCTGTTATCATACTTTCAAATTAAGAACATAATTTATGTATGGAAATACTAAACAGTTTAAACATTTATAAGTCACAGAAAATATGATCTAGATATCTTCATTTGCACCCAAGGAGAAAAAAAGTGAATTACAAAACTAAACAGAGTAGAGTGTCAAACCCTCTGGATCCTTCAAACCAAACAAGATTAATGAGTAACACAGATACACTTCACAACATTAACCCTTACGATGTATCAAGTGGATATATCCACTTTGACATTTATAGCCATTTGATGCAACAAGCAGATTTACCCCACGGCTTCACTAAAACCTGTCCTTACACTGTGACAAGCAGATTTACCCCATGGCCTCATAAAAAAGACTAGAAAAGATCAAATTCTTAATTTCATTTTGTGGTGGATAATTGACACTTTTCAGGAACCAACCCGATATGTTTTACACACAAAAAAGGATTCAAAAAAAAAGAATGAGATGCTCCCTGGCTGGATAAGAACCAACTAGGTCATGATAAGGTTACCTTTGGGACAAATATAACTTTTCTGTACACTATGATACACCATACTAGTAGTTTCAAACTATTTCCTATAAGACCAGATAACTCCTAGGCCACAAATAAATCTGTTCTTGAATATTCAATGCTTGCTTTTAACTGTTACTTTCATTAAATGTAAAACTAATATATTTTTAATTTAATAACGTAGAATTTTGACTAAAAAAGCAAAATCTTATGCTGAAGTAGTAACTGTGTAGTGTCCACACTTAATTATTTCAATTTAACATCACTCATAGACATAGAATGTGAATCAGGCTACACAAGATGGTTTTCAGCTATGAAACAGTATTCAATGATTTAGGAAACCCAATATATAAAAAATTTAATTTTAAAAACACTGCCATTCAACAAGTACTAGTAGCAGTCTTGTAAGTTTCTTTTTTTCATTCTTAGAAATTGTGTTAATTTAAAAACATGTTAATATCTACACTAAAAAGATATGTTAGTAATTGTTTTGACTTGTACAAATCACTATAAAATACTAATACAAAATTCTTAAAATTAATTCTTTTTCTTTTTATTAAAGTATAACAAACATCAGTTGATGAAGAATAAATAACCAATGATAATTTTGTTTTCTATAAAACCGAATAATAATTTTTTCTAATATAAGGCTGAGTGTGTTTCTTTATCACTTTATTTGTTTTATTTTACTACAATTTGCTTTGGTCACAGTTAATTCTAGTTTAGGTAGTCACTGGTAAGTTGCTGAATCACTACAAATGTAACTATAAAACTGCTGTAAAAATATATATCAGAAAGTGTCAATCTACTTTTACTGGCCTTTAAAATAACTATATACACATTATTATTCATGCACTTCATAAAGTTTCAAATCAATCATTAGAAGCTTCATTATTTTGCAGTTTGTTAGAATTTTGTGTTGCTTCTCTTAAGAGCCTACTTTCCAAGGCAGCCACACAGATTACATTAACTGTGCAATTTGCATTACATATTTCCTCATACTTATGTAAATTATTAAAAGAAAATGCATATTATTCATATCACAGTCCTGAGAATCTGCAAGCATATCTTTAGCACGCAGCAAGTAGGAAAAGAAATACCTAGAAGTAACTGCAGAACCTGAAATTTCAACTTATGTTAAAAATGGTCTTTTTTTTTTAAATTACTTTACAACATCTGCTTTTTAATGATGAACGTATGTAAAGAGAAATAAGTATATTTATAAAAATTTTAAATAACACCATAATAACAATCATGGGACAAACAAATGTACACAAAATAAAGAAACTTAAAACTCCTCACTAATATTTTACACAATCAAACTTTGAACAATGAACAAATTCTTTATCTATAACAACAACCTCATTAAATTTTGTTTGTTTGTTTGATTTATATGTTTGTCATTTAATTTATGACTATTGTTTCTATACATTGTTTTAACCTTGAGAACAATATCATACAATGCAACAATTCTTTTTTACACTGTTCAAACACATATTGTTCTGAATTCACACACCTCAGTCTCCTAAGCTGGCTGAACCTCAAGATTTTATTGGGATTATGGCCAAAAATATCATTTAATAGTAAGGGTACCCAAATGATCAAACACTGCATTCTAATTTTTATAAGTAGAAATATAAGAAAAGTACATTTAATTAGCTACATTGATGCCAAGGTTGATTTTGAGTTTTACTTTAAGTAGATAATTTACTCGGATCACAAGTTATTATATATATATATATATCCTAATGAATAACTAAAAGCTAAGACTACAGAAAACATACTTACAATAGACTGTTTTCTTTCTGACAGTGGCATTGATGTTTGCATTCTGATCCATAATAACCATCAAGACAAACTAAAAAAAAAGTTAAGATTACTAAAAGGATTCTTTATAGTTTGATATTTTCATGAAGTCACTGAAAATGCAATTAGGCAATTTTAGTATTCAGTAGCACAGCATTATACATTTAATATCAAGCAGTCAAAAGTAAGTAAAAACTATTGAAGGTAGCTTTAGGCTTGCTTATTTTCTTGGATTTTATACACCAAGTTCACATCAACTTCATCAAAGGAACAATGAAGCTCTTGCATGAAGCCAAATGATAAGACAACATAAAACTTAACCTTCAAAAATAGTACAACATTAATTTGAAGGAATGCAGATTGGCTGAAGCATTGACCCAACACCAAATAGAAAAAATAAATAAACACATCTAAAAAAGTTAATCATCAATAATGCTTGTCTGTTACATACTGATTTTCTTTTCAACAACATAGTTCAACCAGAATTATGGTGCTTAAATAAATAATAAACATTTTGAACAATTGAAAGTAATATATAAATCCAAAACAAATACCACTAAAAAAAGGACTTTAGTCTTTAGCTCTTCATATGCTTTATGAGTAGTATGAAAAATGGTAATTTTAAGTAGCACCTCTCTTTAATACGAAAGCAATTTCTAATGTTGGGTTTTATGGTTTAAGCCAAGATAAGAAAGATACAATTTTTTACAATTTATGAACATCAAAACAAAAGAGTCTTTCTTGATTTATATGTGTATGTTGCCTCCAACTTCTTCACAGATGTCCTGATTTGAGGAATGTAACAAGTTAGAAGGAGAAATCTCTTGACTTAAAAGGAGTAACTGAAGATTTATGTCAGTATATTATGGATTAGTGGTGAGATTATATTACTGTGTAGATGTGTTATTTTTCTAGTTATTACTACAAACTTATTAATTACCATTATATTATTATGTTGTTATATTAAATGTTAATTCCATTGAATACTGGTTTGCATAACTGTTGTATTGCTGTTTCAATATATTAAATACTAAACCATTGATGGTTGCATTAGGGGTTTATTCAGACATAGTAACAACCTCCTTTTGTGAAAAATTAAATATTCTGAGAAACTATAATCTAAATTCTGTTTTGATTATGAGTATTAAATATATTAATCTTTATGAAATTATGCACTTTTTTAACAGGCCTCCAAAATTTAAATACATTTTTTTTTATTTAAACCACTAGTAAGCATTACAACTAAAGATTACAAAAATGGTGAGTGACTGAGTAGTGTGTCCAAAGGTAAAAGTTTTAGCACACTCATATTACAGAAACTTTATAACACTAGACATCAAATACAAATTGTTAGTTTTACCATAAATGTTCAGTACATCAAACACAATGATAAAGCCTAACCTCAGCTTTGTGTAACCAGAATATATATTTGCTTTGATGTTTTAAAAAAAAAAGGTTATAGAAAAAAATTATGGAAAAAAAATATATATATATATACTTTTTACACAAATGGTCAACAATTGAAAATCCATTTCTTTATTGTTAGAATTTCATCCAATCTACATACAAAATATTTGTGCATATTTTTTTTTCTTACTATAGGTTAAAAATAATTAAAAGAGAGAATCTGATTTTGATCATCTGTGACCAGAATATCCAATTTAATTAAACCAAATAAAATACCTACTGAATTTCAAAAACTGAAATCATATGTGATCTATATTTACACAAGGTTTGATAAACTACTTTACTTCTATAAAATAATTTGATTTTTTTTCAGAACATCAAGAGGTATTACATATCAGTGGCAGTTAAGCCTCCTTTTTATAACTGATGACTGATTTAACATAAATATAAAGATGATATGCTTACTACTTTTAAACAAAATGGAAAGCTTAAATAAAAATGTGAAAACATATGAAATAACAACCTCACCTCTTTCTGTACAACTTTTGCCTTTGAAACCTTTTGGGCAAGAGCAGTTACCACTAACAGGATCACAGCTTGCTCCATGTTTACATTCACATATCTACACAGTAAATACAGAAAACAAATTATCTTTGGAAACTCAAGACTAAATGTGCATTTTACAATCACAGATCAATAAAGACAAAAATATTTTCCTGCAGATTAATTAATGTCACAGTTTGTTCCATGACATTTAAGTGTGAAGAACTTCTGCATTATATGAAAACAGGGTTGATCTACTGTTATTACATTAAACAAAAACAACTTATGTTTCTGTTTTGAAAATTCAACTCACTTTGTAATTGATGGACCTCAATTTTACATAATCACTGAATTAACTCAGAGGAGTAAACATTATCTTTTGTACTTTCCAGTCAGTATTAATGCTTAATAGTATATCTGAAATTAATATATAAAAGTTTCCTTTAAAATAATGCAAATTTTAGCTTGATTTTAGTGACATAAATGTTTATAATTAGACCAATATATATATATATATATATATACACACACACATACATATATATATCATAACATTTCATATTTGTGATCCCAATAATAATGAGAAGACTCAGAAAGTTGACACAGTTGAACATGTTGAATCAACACACATACACACAGTCATCCTCCTCAGGACACTTCCAATATTCATGGCTCTCAAGTCATTCTTGGCTTGAGCATGACAATACATTAATTTGATGAAGTGCAAGTTTTATTGTGAAAATAAAAAACACAACTCCTTCACTCAAAGAACTAACAACTTCTGGACAAGTATGCTAAATAGGCATGTTACATCCTCAGATCATGTGTCAATGCTTCTTGTAAAAGTTGAAAACAAAAACTTTACAAAAGCTGTCAACAAAGCACTTTCTAAAGAAGAACTGCATGCGATTGTTGGTTTAAAAGTTGTATACTAGTTAGCTAAGGATTCAATACTGCTATCAAAGTTTGAAAGTATGATGAAATTTCTAAAATACCTAAAATCCCCTGATGTAGAACACTTAACATATGGATCCAAGCAGACATCAGACTAATATGGTTATTACACAGCTACAGAATTTTTGATGTAATCTCCACTGACATTGACAATACTGTGAATGAAAAGTTAGCAGCATTACCTTGTATCACTCTTCTAATAGATGAGACTACCGATATTCATACGAGGAAAAATATGACAATCCTTGCAAGAATCATCAATCTGAAAAACATATTACCACCTATTATATTTCTTGCAAGTCTCCAAGTGAAAGATACAACAGCACAACATTTATCAGAAAACATTTTGTGCACCTTGAGTCGAGGGATGTTCCAAATTCTAAGATGCTTGGCTTGGGGACAGATGATACCAGTTCAATGACAGGCTGTGATACAGGACAACTTCTTGGGCAAAACCCTCACTTAATCAATGTTCACTGCATTGCATACTGACTAGCCTTGTGTACGTCTCAGGCCGCTAGATGTCTCCTATCTCTCAAGGACTACCAAGAAACACTGACAAGCTTGTTCTATTACTTCAAGACTTCCACCAACAGGAAGCAGAAGCTGCAGACATATAAACCATACTGGACAACCAAAAGTTTAAAAATAAAAGAAATATATACAATGTACAATGGTTCAGTTTTTATTCATCACTAACCACAATTTACCAATGTCCGGACTCTCTGTTGACATACTTTGATGAGGCAGGCTCAAAGAAAGATCCCAAAGCTGTGGGACTCCACAAAAAGATGGCTTCCAAACAGTTCCTATATATAACGTACATGACAATGGATGTTATTCCAGTGGTTATCTCAGCCTGTTTTTCCAGAAGTGGAATATGGATATTGCACTTTTACAGGTAATTAACAACATGATGACTGGCTGACGAATAGTGAATATATTTCACCTGCATGATTCATTTCATTACCTGATGTATCACATTGTCTTGATGATTGGTGAGGTACCTAATCTTCACATTTTATTTGTAGGTGACTGTGGATCAGTGGGTCACAGATGTACAGCAAAAGGTCAATTCTGATGGATGTTTTCTGACCAAGATGGTATAGGATTTGATGGACAGGCTAAAATATCACAAGATAGCTAACACATCTGAAGAAATTCTGAAGACAATCAAAAAGAAGTTCATTCTTTCTCTGATAGACAACATCCAGAAAAGGTATGCATGGTCTGTTTTATCAAACCAACTATTTTTTTCCACAAAATGTTTCCATTTCATGATTTGTACTTCAAACCTAATTCACTATCTGTAATTTTTTTTCAAGTTTCCAGAGAAAGACTTGTTGATATCCTTTGGGATATTTGCCCTTCATCCAGTAACTCTGTTGTCAGATGATGAACTTGAAGCTTGGGAAATGACAAGTTAGAGACTCTGTTAACACACTATGGAACATCCAAATCTCACAAGTACAAGTCAGATGATAGTACTCATTTTGAGCAACATCTGAAGCAGTAATTGATCCAAACAAAGCCAGCAGAGAATGGAGAACTGTCAAAATTGTTGTCAAAACAGAAATGTACCCCAGGGCCAAAATGGAAAGACAATGGAAACTAATTGTTCCACATCATGCATGCAATATCCCCAACTTGAAGTTCCTTATATGTCTTGCCCTGATGGTCCATGTCCACACAGCAGACTGTGAGAACTTTCAGTGTTCAGAACAGACATAGAAAGAGGCTCTCACTTTGACCAGTTGGTGAAAATCCTTTTAGAAGGAGAACATTAAGAAATGTGATTTCATTAAATCACTGATAACTTAGAGAAACAGGAAACAAAAAAATATATTTAATAAAGAGCATCAGTGAATGTACCATGTTGGTCAATAGCGATCACAGTTACTTCAAGGTTATTTCCTTACAAGTTACAATAACGATATGCAACACATTATTGTGTTGAACTGTTGATGTCAGTCAATAAAAACTAAAGGAAATGTATTTATGAGTAAAAATCAGTTTTCTCAATGGTATCTTGAGTAAATTCTTGTTTAGATCATTCAAGTAACAAACTATGTACCAATAAAATAATTTGGTATAACATCACAATGAGGTCAATGTTTAGGCAAATACCAAAAAGCAAAAAATCATTAACATTATGAATTCATAATGTTATATGCTAGAAACACTAATCACAATCAATGAATTCACAGCATTTTATTTTGATGATAAACATGATAATTTGCTTCATGAAATTTTGCTTTGAATATTACAATAATAAGGTATAGTTGTCTGGTGCTTCATAAATAGAAGTAAATTACAAAACATCCAAATTATAGGGGCTCATGTTTTTTTCCAAATGACCTACTCAAAATGGGAGTAATGGACCCAAAGTCCCACCCAAAAACATTCCTAGCAAGATCTTAGGGAACAAGCAACTATTACCCCTCTTGTATACACATATGGTTGACATATTAGTTTTGATAGTAAATACATTATACAAACTAGAGGAAGTGGTGGATGAAAACCTAAAGGAATAATTAATGAATTTTAAAGTAATTCTATCAAGGAAAGAACAGAAAAAAAGCTATATAGATTATTAAATACAAAGAAATACAAACAAAATAAAAAAAATTATCTTTCCATAAAATAAAGTAAAATGTCAATAATGCTATAAAATATTTATATATATAATCATTTTTTTGTTTATTATTAAGCACAAAGCTAAACAATGAGCTATCTGTGCTGTGCCCTCAGATAGTGAAATCCAATTCTTAACTTTATAAGCCCTCACATTACCACTGAGCCATCTGAGGCCATTCAAAATACTTATATTCCAGATTCCACCAGGGACATTTTATTTTACATAAATTCCACTTTTGATTGAGATTCAAATTATATTATTTATATTTCAGTTTATACAATATGTGAAAGAAACAGAAAATTTAAGAATTAGAATAAATCTACATAAATATCATGTGAGAAACCCAAATTTAAGGCCAATACCAGCTAATACTCATTTCAATAGTTTCCTAAACAAAAATTATAGAAACTTAAAGGAACTTTTTTTAATCATTAAATTCTTATTTTACTGCAATTTTAAATTAGAATCCTACATGTTCTATGCTTCATTATGTAATTAACCTGTTTATGAATTTGTATTTGTTACAGTTACTCACAGGTTACAGAATTTGTGCTGATTTTATAATATTTTATACTTTATTTTACAAAGTTGAAAGGTTTACAACGTTTTTAACTTTTATTATGATTCTATTTATAATATATATATTGTATTATTTTTTTTATATATTCTTAATTTTAAATCTAAATGTTAATAATCCCAGGTTGAAATCAAACCTATGGAACTAGTTCTAAAGATTACATATTTTGAAACTATTTTACAAGTTAAAAGAGAGATTGAAACAAATTTTTCCAGAGAAAAATCTGGAAGTTACTTAGTGAACTATAATATCCATAGCAAGTGAAATTTTATTTGTTAAAAGAATTTTATAATGTTCTCGCACATAGTTCAGTAAGTCTAACATAATCTCACTGCTACACATCATTAAAATTATTGCATGTATTTTTGTGTGTAATAAATAATAATTACCTGCAAGGATGTGTTTACATAGTTAGCAAGAAAAGTCTTAAAGTTACATATAGCTCTTTTAAAATTAAGTTTTATCCATTTTATACAAGTATATTCAGCACATAATTTTTATTCAAACTTAAATGTCAAAAAGATAAATATCCATGCCCATAAATTTATACCACAACCAGTTCGAAGAGTTCTGGATTGAGTGAAACACATCATCGGCAATGGATATGATGAATATAGTGTGGTTGAAATACTATCATTAAACACTCTTATAATTCTTGAAAATCCCTAAGGGACTAGATAAAGAATATAGTGCTTAAAAATACAACTGGCTTAATATTAATGTCTAATTAAAGGTATAATTAATTATAATCATGCTTCAACAGCTTGTAAAATGCATTTAAATCATAATAATTTATTACACATATCTTCTCAACCTGTTCTTCTAAAATATATTTACATCTGTCAGACATTTAGGCAATAGCAATCAATACTTTAGTTTTCACAAACAGTCAAGAAAGACAAAAACTTGTATTCCTTACCTCTGAGCAATTCAGCCCATAATATCCTATGGAACATTCTTCCTGGCAATAGTCTCCATGGTAACCAGCTTCACAAATACAGTTTCCTGTTACATGGTTACAGGATGCTTGATTATAACACTTGCAGCGTGTACTACAGTTCTGTCCATAAAATCCTTTGGGGCATTGATTAGCACAAACATCACCCTAAAAAAATTCATTAGACAATATGCAAGTTACTGTTTTGTATTAAATATAAAAAGTATTTGCCTAAATATTAGTAATCAGTTAACAACCATAAAAATTCATGGGAAATAACAAACTTGTAAATGTTTTTGCACATCTTATTTTGATAACTATTTACATATCCATGTCAAATTATTTTAAACATGTACAGCCAACCATGAAAGCCCTCAAAATTTCCTTGATCCTACATTAGGGTGCCCCGGTGTAGAAAACATTAAAATCTAAATACACAAACTTATTGTAAACAATTCCTTATACACCCATACCACTTTTTATATAAATCTGTAGATCCAGTCCTGACAGCTTCTAAAACTACTTCTATGCCATCATGGACAAAATAACAAACTATATATTCTTTCAACATTATTAAACTGATTTTGTCTTATAAAACATATACTTTAATAAACATTCAATAGCCATGACTTTTTAAATAACAATGCAATTTGTACATATTACATGCATTAACTGATGATAAACAGTCATATTAGAGAAACTTCACATAATGTATATAGCTTTTCTTAACTAATCGTATATAATGATAATAAATAAATTAGTCATGTATAATGATAAAATAGCACAAATACAAATAATTCTTTACGTTAAAATTAAACTTTAACCTTTCATCCCTGTTCAAAAACAATTTTGAAGCTCTATTAATTCAAATATATACAAGATAAGCACTGCTATGAAGTGGCATGGTGTGTAGGCATACTACATATTTCCTACACCTTTATCTAATAATTTCTCTGTATAATGAGCACGTACTTTTAATAAAAAACATTATTCAAAGGAGCCTCAAAGTTCTTCTCATCTTAATTACTCATGAGAATAGATCATTCAACAAAGGTTTGTTTTATTCTGAATTTTAATGTCAATTAGTTTATTACTTTCATGTTTCATATGTTGATCCAATACAAGTACTTATTTTTGTACAATACACATTACTCATAAACCTAAGTCTTACAAGCTAACCTTAAAAATAAAACATTCTTTGATTTATTCTAAAAATATAACAAATTTGATCTCACTATCCAGCCAGAAGGACAATTGCAAGTTCCACTGATGTGATTACATGTGCCATTATTTTGGCATACACACTGATTTGCACACCCCTCGCCATGAGTACCACTAGGACATTTCTCAGAACATCTGCAGGAATGAGAAAAATAACAATCAACATATTTATTTCTTCTAATCTCTCAAATGATCTTAAATTTGTTCTAAACCTAACATGTTATCAAACATTTGATTTAATAAGTACCATAAAGCACTATTTTGGGCAAAAGAAAAGGAATGAAAATGGTTTTACACTCACTACTTTTAACTTTTGTTGGTGCTTTACGGTATCTAACTGCCTAATAAAAAATAATAAAAAAAATTAAATGTTCCATAAAAGCAACACTACATCACATAGCAATTAAAGATATATGCATGGACATTGTTTAAAAAACAATTTATTATCACTACCTCTCTAAACTGCATTTATTGAAATTCTAATATAATTAGTAATTACCAGGAAATTCATATATATTATATTAATTAATTACTCCACCCTTCTTCAATGTTGGTGATACAGAAGCCACAACAGGTTGTTTGTTGTTAAGCACAAAGCTACACAAAGCCACTACAGGTATAAAAATCCAATTTTTAGTATTATAAGTCCATAGACTTATCACTAAAGACAATGAGGGTCAATCACAACAAATAAAAATTTAGTTGTAAATACATGCTCTTACAGAACTTGAACAAACCATGTATCATACCTACATTTTTTTCAATATTTTACCTGACTCTAATACTCAAAATGTACATTAACTGAAATTCTTTATCACAATCTGTTAAAAATGTCTAATATTTAAACTACAATAAATACCTATTTTATACTCAAAAACAAAGCCTTACATGCAATAAGTTAGAGGAAGGCAACTGTTTGGAGGAAGAAAGGCAATTGCCTCCCCTCCCCAAAGAGACTGGGAGTACCTTTCAAAAAAGTAAGTTTTATGATTTTACTCTGTGTTTGTGTGTGTGTGTGCTGAACAAATCATAACATGAAGTTTCAAGCTGATTTGTATATACAGAAACATAAAACTGTAAGGAATCATACTCAAAAGTTAAATGCAAAGCCACCAACTAAGTGTGCATATTGAATACATGGTCTCTTGAAACACTATTCATGACTATTTAAACAACTATTTCAACACTATGACCAAATATTGCTTTGTCTCATTTGTTTGGTGTTAAGAACAAAGCTACACAATGGTCCAAAACCCAATTATGAGCATTATAACCTTTCAGCCTTACTGCTGAACCACTGGGGAGCACTCACATACTACAACAGTAAGCAATTGATTTTTGTCGTGGACAGAAAGCAGACAGCCCATTCTGTAACTGTGTACTAAAAAACAAACGAAAAACATTATCTGGTAAACTAAATACAGAATAACTCTGGAAACCTGGAATTTATGGGAATAAAGAATAACTCCTTAAGTTTTTAGTTTTATATACCAGATCTGGATTTTCATAAATTTAACAGCAACAGGCATTTTGATCTGCTAGAAATTGACCATTTTAAAATATATTTATTTTAAGAAGCACCAGAGAGGATAAAAAAAAAATCGAGCTCGTTTCCAGGATGATACCATATCTTTTCTTTCTTTTGTGTGTGTATGTGTGTGAATTACAAGATGATCACAATCATGTAGAACCCCAAAAAATTGGTTTGGATTGTCACTAATAAGTCATTTCGGTATAAAGAACTATAGTTTCTAAAACATTTTGTAACCATGATCCTTTCTTTCTTCTATCTTATTTGAGTTCTGACCTTCCAGTTTCAGGTTAAAGGACTAGGAATAAAAACATAACCATTAATGGAACAAAAGTGATTGTTTTGAAGTTGTTTTGTGATGTTCATCCTAATTTACAACTCAGAGCATACCACAATTTTGTCTAAAAATGGTGTGCACAAAGGAAATTGAAATGATTTTATGGTAGAAAACAAAGTCCATACAGCATTCTATGCTAGGTTAATATTCCAAGAACTTCCAAGTGTTTGTGTATGTTATGAGCAAAATCAGAAGACAATTTTTACATAAAACAGTTATTTAGCTAATTATTTATACGCTTAGGACGTCACAAAGTTCATCACATAGTCAAAACTTTAACACAAACTACACAGCATATTAATCTAAACAGTTCTATGAGAAACCTTTATATGTCACCGAAGGAGAATGATCTATAACAAGGCAACTGCAAGTTATCCACATTCAAGAAACTATTTCTGTTGTTAAGCCTGTGCACATGCTCATAGTTGTATATTTTGTTTTTAATTTTTGGTGAACAAGAAATGTTCATCTGTTTCAACTCAAATGGGGAAAAACACTTAGAATGCTTCACATATTACAGTTACTTCTCTGCAGAACTTACATGATTCTGATGAGATGGACAAGCATAACCATTTAACAATGATGCAAAAACTAAAAACAGTATCAGCAACAAAAATATTTGATAAATAAAATTCTTTTAATAGTAAAAGTTTACAACATCATGCTGTCTACAACTATTTGGATCCAAAATTATAGAAAATATAGTTCTCATACATGCCATTTACCACTGCTTTTCACATCTTGATGAACATAGTTGTCAAGCAATGAGAGAAGGATCTGTCCAGCTGGAATGGAGTTGCTTCCTTGTCACTAGCTCATACCAAAGCCATTCTTAAAATTTTGTTCCTTCACTGCTTTATCATAGCCATACAGTGGCCTTTCCTAGCTGTAGACAAGGAAGTTCATCTGTATCAATTGATTAAGACCTTACCCATTACATATATTATTCCAGATACTGTGGCACATCTGTTCTAGGAAGTGGACAATAAGTCACATTCACATGTAACTCTGTTTCTGATCAAACAAGAGAATGTTTAGCAAACAACTAGTCAAATTACGGTCTTTTACATTATAAAACATCATCATGACATTTCATAAATGTTTATCTTAGTTGGTTCTGTCAGGATTAGTAAAGTTTAGAAGTATCTCCTTGATAGCCTGTATTATTACTCTTTTAAACCATAAAACTGGTGGTGATAACAAGTGCACATCTTCACTATACTCAACACAGCTCAGAAAATAAATGGCTATTCAAATTCCCTCCTTGGTCCATATGAAATTCTCCTGAAAGTAATGTTTATTCCTAGTTTAGCCCCAAAGAAGAAAGGTCCACCTTTCAAAAGTGCTCAGGTTATAGGGTTTCATATTTTTGTGTTAAATCAACATTGCATAATTCAAGGCCTGGAAGTGACCAGCATGTTACATGTACACTTGCTAATGTGAAAAAGCAGTTTTTCTGACTGCACGTGTGTTGAGCAATGTTGAAAACACTGTAATGTGTGAGTGCTGTCTTAAGGAAAAGCCAAAATGGGGAAAGCTCCAGCATGAAAAATAAACATTGGTTATATCTTGTCCTTTACAGAAGATTGAACAGAGTAATTGGTACATACTTGTCATTATCAATTACTTCACCAAGTGGACTGAAGGTTATCTATTGGTTAATATACTGGAACAGTCTATCACTGATGTGTCAGCTGAACAGTAGATATCAGCACTGAAAGCTCTGGGGATCACCAGCTACATCAAAAATTGATCCTTGTCTCAATGGCTTATAACAAAGGTAGAGTACACCTTCCTGCACTCATAGCTACTCATAGAAGAGCCACAGGTTACATGAGCCTGTGCATTTTTTGATATACAAGGATCACACTTCACCTTATTGCACAGCAAGTAGCACCCAAGCTAGATCTCAGTCCTTCCATTGCACTTCCCAAAGATCCTCATGTGTCACTCAAGTAGTTCTTTCACTCAAAGAATCATCTACTATGTGACTTGACAGTAGATATGTTGTAATGGTTTTAACTCCCACATGGTGTGCAGGGTCAGAGCATTTAGTTAATAGCTATAGTCTCACTGTTTGGGAGGACACTTTGTGTCATATCTCCCAGAGCACATGCTTTACTTGTTTCACTGGTTATTCCAATTACAAAAACAGGAAGGATATATTCTTGAGGTGTCACAAGGCTCCTCCTGCCTAGGCAAAACTTTTATAAGAAATATACAGCATTGAAATCTATATAATTCTCTATATGGGAAAGTTTTTGGTGAAACCAAATCCACAGTTAATATTGCGGACTAAATACTGTCTAAAAATAAGTCTACATTAGGTAATGTATGAAACGTGATGCTTATAGTTTCATTTTGGAATCTAGTTTTAAATTACAGTAAGCAGTATATAGAATAAGTATTTACTTCTGTAACTCACTATCTGATATACCCTTTCAACACAAAGGGAAGACGTAGTAATTCCCACGGGGTGACATAGGGTGGTCAGATTTAACCTTCTATGTCACTCCTAGGGGTACCCTACAGGTACATACTAGGTTTGGTCAAAATAGGTCCAGCTGTTTACCAATTGGAAGTCAACACAATGTATAGGGAAGACATAACAGTGTCAGGTCCTAATGTCATCTTCACCAACCAATCTACCCGAGCAGCTTTTTGTAGGAGAAACTTAGCATGAAAGGCAGAGCCGGCCTGCAAGGAAGCTAGAAGTAACCACTCATCCAAGTAATGGTGGAAACGAAGGACCCGAGAATGAAAAATATGGGCAAATACCTGGACCACAATATGTAGAGATCCAAGGCAAATCTGAATGGAAGAGCCAGGAACTGAAACACACACACATCTTACAATGGACAAAATGAAGATAATGTCTAAATGCAGGGGAGATGGAAACATGTAGGTATGTATCCGACACATCAACCTTCGTCATCCACAAACCAGGAGTGAAAATCCAATGAAGGGCTAAGTATGACTCCATTGTGAAACATGAAAAGACCAACAGATCTATGATAGGATGACAGTCCTCTTTAATTTTGTGGATGACAAACAGATGGAAATAAAAATCTGGATGAGAGAAATCTCCCTATTCAACTACATCCTTGTGAAGCAAGTCCCAAACTGCCTCTGAAACATGCTGGCCAGCAACAAGATCCCGAGGAGGGGAGGAAATGGGATATGGAAATAAATGAAGAAGAGAATCGAAAAGAAGGACCAGAACCTCTGAAACCACCTTCAGAACCCAAGGATCTGTGGCAAAGTCCCTACAAATGTGGGCAAAGCTGAGGAGCTTGTCCCCCACAGGTCCCAAACCCACAACAGTAGCCACTAAGATGGCACCCCAAAAAACGACAGAGAACATCAGGAATACAAGAGGCTGGAACTGGCAAGGCTCAGAGGAAGGAGGAGGACAAGACACAGGAACAAAAGGGAGAGATGAATACAGTAAATCTGGGGCTGGGAAAAGGAAGCCGAAGTATTGGGGTCCGATCCCCACAAAAGGATCGGCAACTCCAAATGCTGCAGATCTAAATAAGGAAATACAGAAGGAAGACATGTCCGAGCATGGTTGTCAAGAGTACGGAAACAAGGCATACTGACACCCAAATGCAACTTGTCCCTAAAACGACTTGCATGAACCCCAATATCCAGAGAGGGTAAGAAAAACTATATACTGACCTAATGGCTTGTCACAGAGAAGAGCAGGATTAGAATCATAGTAAACGGGAGACAAGAATAAAACATAACCGACCTGACTGATTAAGTCTACAAATGTGGAAGGAGGCCCGAGCACCTCCCCGAAACAAAACACAACTGTGAAGCATAGGCAGGCAAACCCTCACATAGTAAGAAAGGACAATCATTAGGTAACTCAGAAGATCGCATAAAGGTAGTCAACTCCCTATGAACTAAAACCGTTACTTCTTGAGCATATAAAGCTTGCCTAGATGCCATTGAAGTGGCAGGCTAATCAGTTGTACTAGTTACAGCAGCTGTGGTAAATGCCATGTGGAATTGCGAATGTATGATGAGTAGACTGGGAAAAAGAGAATTTGATCTCCAAAAAGAATTCTCAAAACCATAAAAATAAAAAAATATGGTTGATAAACATATGTGGTATTAAATATATATAATTAAACTTCCTGCCTGCATAGATAAAACTTCTCAACATATGAAACATAACTGCAAGTCTGTGATTTTTGAACTACTTTTTGTTGGTGGTGTCAAAAAAACTATAACATTTAGCTAAATGCATTTTTTTGTTTTACAATTTCCAAACATATGAAGCTAACAAAATCATAAATATCTCTCTTAAAATCTATAATTATTTTCTTTCTTGCAATCAGCTTGTCTTAGGGCTTCTATGGACAGCTTATTTCTAATCTTTAAGTTATTACATCAAAAGCCTTTCTTTACCACATCTTTAAATTATCTAACTGTATCATATCTTTCTTTGTATAAGATAAATAAAGATAATTAATAAATTTTATTAGTTTCTCTCCTTGTTTGTTTATTTTGTTGAAGTAATCACTTTGTCAGGTACTATTCACGTTACAAAAATTTAGACAAGTAATCTGAAACTAAAAGTGTTTTATAGACTGTCACAGGACAAGCTTTGAGATTAGCAGGAAGTCTATGAAATACCTGTAGGTAATGTCTGAAAGATGTTAGGAAGTAACTTTTTTAAACAACATAGTTAAAAAATACTACCTATCTATGTTAACTTTAATAATATATTCCATTCCAAGTTTCTTTCAACAAAATGTATTATAGCATATTATACCATTAAGTTTATGTTGGTGATATTACTAACAAGCATTTGTGAAACCTGTATTTCTGGTCAGTGGTCAGTGTCATGTGTACACAGCTGTGTCATGTACTTTTTTATTTCATGAAATATTGTAAGTTTATCAAAAATAAACTTTAGGCTCAACTACCGAGTTTTATGAAAGAAATACTTTTGTTCCAAATATGGTACTGATAATGAATTATTAATTTTAATGGGTGTAAATATAGAAGTAGTATCATACTAATACCAAGCTGGAAAGGGTCAAGCAAATAATGAGCTTTAATCCTTATATGCTAAATACAGTAGCTTAAACAGATACCATGCTTGAAAAGATTATCACACTAAAATAAAACTTGACAATGAGTAAATTTTGGTAAATTATATACTCTATTTATATCTTCACATAAAATGTATTTTAATTACAGGGAAAATGTGATAGGCAGTTTTAAATGGGTTTCTTTCAACAAAAGTTGAACTATCGTGCATCAAAACCCTAAAATACATTTAAAAGTTCATATAATAGAAAAACATTCAATTTTTCTAGAATTTATCAAGGATTACATACAAACTGAAAATATTTAAATTAGCAACAATATGTAAATATGTCTTACAATGCTCCTTGATAACCCGGTGGGCATTTGCAACTTCCAGATACATGATTACATGTAGCATTGTTCTTACATTGACATTCCTGTTCACAACCCAAACCAAAAAAGCCAGTGGGACATGGATTATCACAATATTTACCCATCCAACCTTAAAAAGAAACAGAATGGTAACACAAATATAATTAGTTCCCTTTTATTAATCAAGTATACATGGACATGCAAAATCCATGAAGAAGAAGAAGAATTGTGGATATATCACACAATTCTTATCAAAATCACAAAAATATATAGCTTTTGTCATCTCATATTAAATACTAAAAGTGGTATTTCAAGTAAGATTACCTAAATGTGCCATCAGTGACTTTTCTTATAAATGAACTTTGCTGGACAAAGAAAAGGTAGGGGAAAACCCAAAATGATGAAAGTATGATAATACACCAACACATTCTAAAAACAAAATCAAGCAACTAACCATGTAGGACTTTCTTCTATATCTCCTGATGACTTCATGGGTTTATATCATTTAAACAAAATCAAACAGATTTTAGCATAAAATGTTTACGCAAATCACAGTGTATGAAAAACATATTCCAAACTTCTTTCATAAAAACTACAAAATATATTTGTATTTAAATAATACTAAAATACACAAATCAATCAAACCTATAGACATAACATAAATAAAATTTGTATCTATTTACATTACAACAGCTCTGTGCAGCTGTTGAAATGTGACTGATCAGCTCAATGATGAAATAAATCCACCAGTATTTTCATCCAAGTTTTATAGCTCATTTTAGATAAACGGCTCAACATTTCTAATAAATATGTCGACATATGAAAAGAGAGTGATCTGCTGATTATGTTTTTAAGTTGGATGGCAAAGTAGAAAGGTAGATTTCGATGGATTCTATTTCAACTTTACCTGACAAATTGCTGTCTTCACATAGGCACGATGGAGGTATCCACAGCTATACCACACAGTGCATGTGCATTGGAATGTTGTGTGGTGAACAGCCAATGAGGGCATCTCATTGTAATTCTATGTCAGCCCCTTTATCTACAGTGAGCACATGGAACATTGTGGTAGTGTTGGCTGACCCCCCACATTTTTTAAACAGACTTACACAAACCACAGAAAATGACCCAGATAACAAAAAAAAACTTGGAAATTGCAAAAAATTTACATTTAGGTATGTTCACATCAATTTTTTTTTAATTTCAAGAGAGGATAAACGAGCTACATCATGCATTTTACACTAACAAGATGTAACACGCAGTAAATGCCACTTAATCTCATCCTCGGGCTACCACTCAGGTTTTGATAGTATAGAAGCATGCTTCTGTATGTGGTCTATATACTATATATTGAAGTCACTAATTCATTTGTAATGATACTTGGCATGCTGGACAAATACAGGAACAGCCACAAGAAAAATGTTACTTTCCTTTTTTTTTAAGAATAAAAATCATTTTATGATGTCTTTAGTGAGACCTCTTCTGGATATTGTTAAGGAAATATGGACTTGAATTGAATATATAGATCCAAGTACAGCTAGTAATTCAATTCAGAATTGCCCTTGTCTTCATTCATGGCAGAACTGCCCTAGTGACAAACAAGTGTAGTTGTCTTTTGAATTTCTGTACTGAAAACCAGAGAAGCTGGGCACAGTCAACAAGACCATCTCAACTGTGTAAAACAATTGTGTCAGTTTTCTTTTGATAGAGATTAATTCAGTTAAATTCTACATTTCCTTCAAACCTTGCTAATTTGAAATATAAATCAAACATTTTATCAGATTAAATCAAAAACAAAAAATTAATTTATCTCAATTTGATTAACTAATTATTTGGTATGTCAACAGGCAGAAGGTAATTTTATTTCTCTACACCTAACTGATCTGTTTCTCTTACATGAATTCAGGAGTTAACAATAAAATTTGATCTCTCTTCACTGTGACAATGACTTTGCCTATGTAAAAGTACCACATTATAAAACATTATCTGTTTAATATACTTTCTCAGGAAAAATTGTAACTACTTACCTGGTTTACATGTACAAGAACCAGTAGTAGGATCACAAACAGCACCATTCTGACAAAGGCAGTCACGTTTACACTGTTCACCCCATTTTCCATCTGGGCAAGCTGTGAGCAATTATTAGTATTTTAAACATTTTGTGTGTTGAAATTAAAGGTTCACTAAACTCTATAGGAATTATACTTAAATGTACTTTTTATAAAGTAATGACTGTATTACAAAATCTTGTCAACATGCAAAACATTTTCATCTTGAAAATCTGATATAAATATACTTGGACAACATACAATGTACACAGTTTGTCAATTTCCTATATCTACTAGACATGACTGTCACAAAAACAATAGTTTAATCAGAACTTGTTTTAATACTTTTATGTTAGGGAAACACCATATACAATACACAATTAACAAACTAATTAGCAAATATTTGATAACTATTACGATTTTCTGTGGGATTTAAGGTGACACAATACACACAAGGAATATAAATACAATACATACTGAATGAATACAAGTAAACTTGGTACTAAAATGTAGATAATAAATCAGATTTTTTCAAATGCTACACAAACCAGCCAAGAATTTTGATGTTGATATATATATATAAAAAAAAAGTCATTTTGGAAAGGTTTGGGTTGTTTTCATTAGACAAAAAACAAAACAAAAACGTTTGGCACTATTTTTTAGGTCTAGGTTGCTGGAGCTGGCCTGTGATTTGACCCAATACCATGAGAGCCAACATGGAGAAGTTATAATGTAAATGTAAAATAAAATGACGTAGCAATGAAACATGCTTGAAATGTTCTAGATGTGGTTGTAAATGTGACGGTTTAAATGTAGTGATTACGCTAAACCGTGAGTCCAGGTCAGATGAGAGAAGAACTTACTTAAAGTTATCCCAATCGATTTAACATACCAGCTGAATCAGAGATTTGTCAATTGATTACTACATTGCCAGTAAAACATAAAAATAATTAGAACAATAATATCATTATCTTCAAATAAAATTGGAATCATGTATAAGGAACCATCAGTTTCAATATTTTGTGAAACTAATGGTACAGTAAAACTCGAAGATTCAGTTTAGAAGTTGAAGCAGATGCATGATGCATTACAAAATGATTTCCCTAGCGATTCTCAAATTAAGAATACCATTTCAGCAATGAAGAGTAAATATAATGATGAAAGATGATGGTATAATGCCCAGTATGGTATCACAATAGTATAATTCATATAGATTTCATCATGCCTATTTTCATTAATATTTAGTTTTTTTTTCATTTTAGAAATGGTGCTGAGCTAAATTCATCAAAATAACCCTAAATCATCAGTTTCCTCAAAGATGAGTACTATCTTTCTTTTTTTCATGTGTATTTTTTAAAATGTAATAATTAGAAATTTATTAGGGTAGAAAAAATAATGGATAAAATATAAAGTCCTACTGAAAAACAAAAGGTCTGATATTTGTTCATGAGCTTTTAGTTATTATGAAAATTTTCAGATGAAGAAAAGTATTTTTAATCTTCATATGAAAATTATTTTGCACTCAGAGCAATCAACTTTCTGACTTCAGATATTCACTGACAAATCTTTAGTGAAAATACTTATTAAAAACTGATTTTTTTTTGTGTACAAAAGACTTGTTATGTTTAGTGAAAGCTTGCCAAATTTTGTGAAGATACATAAAACATACTAAAAACTATAGTATGGAAATTCTGATGGTTACTTTGTTGTTACAAGATCAGTCACATTGACCAACTCTGTACGGAAAGAGTTAAAGAAAACAAATAATGCATGCCAGTTCAGTCTTTAAAATTCCCTTACCACTGCACAGCACATCCAAATGAAATGTGGCAAACTGAACACATCTTGTAAATGTAATTCATTAAAGGAACAATTCATGCCGAAGTATTGACCCTTATATTATCAGTACCATTTCATATAGGCCTGGCATGGCCTGTGGTTAAGGCACTCAACTCACAATCTGATGATTGCATGTCTGAATCCCCACCATTGAACATGCTTGTCCTTCCAGCTGTGGGGCTTTATAATGTGATGGTCAATCCCACTATTTGTTGGTTAAAGAGTAGCCCAAGAGTTGGGAGAGGGAGGTATTGACGAGCTACCTTCCCTCTAGTCTATCACTGCTAAATTAGGTACAGCTAGTGCAGATAGCCCTCATGTTGCTTTACACGATTTTCAAAAGAAACCATTTAATATGTACATGGGCACAATGGATAGAATGTTTTAGCCACTCATAGTTTTAACTAATACAGATGAGTAAAATAAATTGATGATATTATTTTACAAATTGAAGACATCGAAACAACAATTACAAACTTTTATTCCAGTTTATAAGCTCACTGAATATATTGAGTAATGCCAGATCTTCCCAAGTATACACATAGCAAGTACGAAAAAAAAAAATCTACAACCAAAGAATTAGCACTGTAACATTCACAGGTCCTTTAAAGAATCATGCTCTAGCTTGTTAATAAATTAACAGTAAGAACAATTCAAAAGTTCTAGATTATAAACTTACAATATTTCCTAAGTTACACTAATGTTTCTTGGTTGAAAAAAATCTCAAGGAGACAAGAGCTCTATAATGAACCAGCTTAAAGTGGGGTCTTATCTTACTGTATTATACTTTACTATAGTTTTATTTGTATACACATATAGACACACATACACACACATTGTAATACAATTTCTAAAGTAACTTAAAAACTAGGCTTGGATAAATACAAAAATTCATAATTTGTCCATAGATCAATGTAAAATGATGCAACAAACAACAGAATAATAACATTCAAAAAGCAGACAATGTCCTGTAACTATCACAATTTTTCTGGCATTTCTAGCAGTGCAACATGAACCTTTAAAATGCCATCCATCTATCATTCCCATGAGAAAAAAAACATTTTCTTAGGAAGCGATCTACAAATCTCTGTACAGAAAACAATATAATATAATACGTCATTTGATAGACAAAAACCTTGCCTGTCTATTGTTTATAACTAATATAGTCATAAATGTATTGACAAATCCTGAAAAAGAGGATGTGAAAGGTGGGAATGGCAGAAGGGGTCTGATTTTGTATTTGATGGCTCTGTAAACAAACAAAATTGAAGTCTAATAAAACTTTCCTTTTTTCCAGTTATGACACTATTATAGTGAGTAATTTAAATTAAATTTACCAGTACCTAAATATAGCACTTATACATCATTCACAAGTAAGAAACAATGCCTTCAGTTACATATCTCCATATACGTAATGTTAAAATGACCCTGTTTAGAGCTGATTCATTTGGAGCTTTGTTCTCAGGATCCCTTCTTGAGTGATAAACGGGGTATTACTGTATACAAAAATGAAGTCAAACAAATAATATCAAGGCACAAATTTGATATGATAATTACTAACCTAAGGTTTAGAAGTGCTCATGTAACACTTGCTTACTTTTTTATGGTCAATTTATCAAATTAATATTTTGTTCATATAAATACAAATATATACTCACACACAAATAATTCTTCACATTTTCATCACTGACATTTATTCTCAGTAGTTTCAGTAATATAGTAAGCAAGCAAAATGATTCTAAGGATAGTTTAAACTTTCAGTTTGAGTTTATTGAACTAACTTTTGCAAGATTCATCCAAATGTTTTTGACGATTAATAGTAAGTAGTATGATGAAGGTTTAATACTGCTCTTACTGGTATTAAATGTGCATATCCAGCTATTGTCTACCAGTGAAATTTAAACTAATCCCCTTATTTTAGAATTTTGTAATTATAGAAAAATATGTATAAATACAACACACTGAAATGCATCAGATAGTCGTGCATTAATAGTATGATGAAATCACACAATATAATACAGCTTAGAAACATACAATAACCTAATAATGCATATGAAAGGAAAATCAATTTTGATTTAATGGATTAGTTATGTTAACTTGATATCAATAAAACATTCATGAAACTAGCAACCTTTAAAAGAAAGCAAAATAAAGACATACTTACAAACATTACAGGTATTTCCACCCCATCCTTCACTGCACAGGCAAGTATCTGGTGCTTCACAAACTCCATTCACACAAGAGTCCTTACAATGTGCTATCAAACAAATAAATAAATATTAAGATTGATAGAGTTACATATATTTATTGCACAAAAATACAATGTTCCACATTTATGACTTTAAGAATAATTTGGAAATAAATACAAATTAACCCTATCAAAATGGGTCATAGGTCAAAGGCCATGTCATCTCGTTTGTTGACTCGCATTCAAAATTTTATTGAATGACTATTTTATGAATTTATGTCTATAAATTTGGTATCAAATTGTAAATTAGAATTCAAATTTTAGTATTATACATTAGTTAACTTTCTTAATTTAAAAGTAAATATTAAAAAAATAACACCTAAATATTGATTTGTGTGTGTCACGTGGTATGTTGAATGCAGCACTGGT